GTGCATTGCTGTTGTGGGACGCCTCCCTTTCCCATATGCCTTTCCAGTATTGTTCAGTCTCCAGCCTTGGTGACTGGTGGTTTCTGTCACCAGTTGATAATCACAGTTGTAGTTTGTTTTGCGGCTCTGGATACATTTTATTAGTGAGCCAAGTAGCACTAATTGTTCTTTTGATCATAAAGGTTGCAGACCACTGCCATAAACCATGATGGTGAACAATCTTTTGTTTTCAGCTCATTTTAAAGTTGTTTTCAGACTCCCATGCTGCCACTCTTCAGAGAAGATGCAAAGAGGAAAAAAACTTACTATTGCCCCTTTAAATGCCCTTTCTCATAATTGGAGTCACCTGTGTATGGAGGTCAAGGGTCACTGAACTTAACAAATCAAATTTAAGTTCCAATAATTAGTTCTAAAGGTTTTGAAATCAATAAAATGAAAACGGTGCCCAAATTTATGTACCTGCCTAATTTTGTTTAGCCATATTGCACACTTTCTGTAAATCATATAAACTTCATTTCACTTTTCAAATATCACTTTGTTTGTCCCCTATATGATGTATTTAACTGATATTTTTAATTCAAATGATCAATTATTTATAAAGGTAAATCAGGAAAATTAACAAGCGTCCCCAAACTTTTTCATATAGCTGTATATATAATAGATATATATTGTTTTTCCTCATCTGTCCTTCTAGTGCTGGGTGGTATACTGTTTTGTACTGAAAACCGGTTTTTATTTTTGTTATGATATGACTTTTCTGAATATCGGTATAGCCTGAACACGTGTGGAACGTTTCTTCGCAGCCGCCAGTGAACTGTTTCCCTGGGGACACATTTCGTTGCAGCACCGCTAAGTGCATTAGCATGCTAACGTTATTGTTGGAACAACTGGTGGCATGTGGTGTGTTTCAGCCACTTATATGGTCTAACATTAAAAAAAACATCCCGTTTTCACCATGGTTGAATAGTAAACAACTCTTCAGTGACGTGCATGATTAGATTTAACGTGCTATGTTATACTTCCTGGAGAATCTAGCGTGTTTCTATTGTGAAAAGCCCGGGGGGAAGTAGTTTTGTAGTGTAGCGGAGTTGACTGGTGTGTAAGGTGAGTCATCCTTTTAAGTTTTATTCACACGCAACGATAGACCAGATAATGATATTTTTCTCAACCCTTCACGATCGGACCAAAATGCATGATTACTGTCTACAACCAGGCAAAGAAGAAAAGACATACAAGAGGAGGGAAACAGTGATAAAAGAAAAAAGTCAATAAGCAAAGTTTGTACATTTTATTATCAGCTGACCTGTGAGGAAAAAAATACCTTGAAACCGGTGTAATTGTTGAAAATACCTTGATATAAAATTTGGGTCATACCGCCCAGCTCTATGTCCTTCTATGGTTTTTAGTTTTTCTGTTAAGAGTAGCACCTCCTCATGATGTTTTTATGAAGATGATCCTTACTCTGTGCAGGGTCTGTGGCTGCATGACCCAGGGCACCTGTTCTCCTATGTTTGTTATGTTCTGTCTTCTTCTGAATGGGTGTTCTGATTTTATATATATATATATATATATAATATGCATACATACTGTGCTGGTCATTAAATTAGAATATCATGAAAAAGTTCATTTATTTCAGTAATTACATTTAAAAAGTGAAACTCGTTGATGACAACTGAACTAATCTCAGATCTTGTCTGGTCTCAGAAGCTAAGCAGGGTTGGGCCTGGTTAGTATTTGGATGGGAGACCGTTTAGGAATACCAGGTACAGTAAAACCTACTGTATGTAGGAGGTGTGCCCACTTTGAAAAGAGAAAACCTTTGTCCATAACAGGTCAGCTTCTGAAAGGACGCCATAAATAACACTTGTGATGAAGAATGGAAGCTTTGTCAACTGTTAATTTTTTTGTGTGTTTATTCATTAGTTGAACTTGTGATTGACTTCACAGAGAACACATGATATAACACCTTTAGACCATGTTGAATCAGCATCTTAGCTCTATATGAGCATGACCAGCGAGAATACCACAAATAGTTTTTCCATAAGATGAAATTTAATTTATTTAAAATCCTCAAATGATCTGGACTTCACGCTCTGCTGCAGGGTCATTTTCCATGGTTTCCTTTTGTGATTTTTGTGATTTCAGACTGTCGTAGAGAAGAGACTTTTAAGAGAAAAGGGGAAGCACAGACACGACTTTAGCAGAGAAGAGTTTTTACAGGAAGTGTGGAACTGGAAGAAAGAGTAAGCCTTCCTCCTCCTCCTCATCCTCACTGTGCATCAGTAGTGTGTTTTGTATGCTGTATAGTGTTTGTTTCACACTAATTACTCCCCACCTTCACCTGTGTCCCAGGAAAGGAGATGAGATCTACCAGCAGCTGAGGAAGCTTGGGGCGTCTCTGGACTGGAGCAGAGCCTGTTTCACTATGGATCCAGTGAGCCTTTAGTCGAGATGATTTTATAGTTGCAACCCAAAGAGCTCTACTGAATTCAAACATGAATGAATTTCTGCTGGTATTCTAACCTTCACCCACTTAGATAGATGGATTATGGGATTTCAACCAAACTCCAAACCAACCTCTTTGTTCAGTTAAATCCAGGTGGTGAATCACAGGCTTACTGTAGGTCAAACAGTCCCTGTGGATTCTTGAATTGTCAGCAGAAATAAATGAGAAAACCATACGTTGTAGTGTAAAACGTGTTGTAAAGTTAGTTTTGTTCTTCAGGGTTTCAGCCGGGCCGTCACCACAGCTTTTGTCAGACTCTGTGACTCTGATCTGATCTATCGCTCAGAGAGGATGATCAACTGGAGCTGCGCTCTTCAGTCGGCCATTTCTGACATCGAGGTGAGGAAAGCCTTCTGTGACGACAGTTTGTTCAACAAGTAGACAAACACATGTTTTACAGTTTTGATGTTTTTTTTTCACGTTACACAGGAATAAAAAAGGTTTAGAGATTAGGTTCAGTGAGGCTGGCAGCCTGAAGTTGCTGGATGCTTTTTAATTATTCCTTTCTAGTAAAAAGACAAGTCTTATGTCATAACTAACTTTAAACATTAGGATTTATATGTGAAAATCTATCACACTGTATGTGGGATAAAAACAAATGTTTGGTCTTCACTGGTTGAAGCCGTACGATTTTAAAGGGCCTGTGACATCAAATTTTTGTAATAAACATGAATTCATTTTTGGAAAGAGAACATTGATAAAAAATTGCAAAACAAATTACACGTCGCTGAGATGAATCGTTGTTGAGATATTTGCACGTGAAGAAACAGGAAGTGATGTCAAAGGAGAATGTCTGCTTGTAAACAGAGCGTTGTTACAAAAGCTAACAACACAAAATGTAGAGAAGAATCTCATGTTTCTTTAGATTATTTTTAGTTGCCATCAAAGGGAGACAAAGAAGAGTTAAAGTTTAAATAATTTTGTTTTAATAAACAGAGACCAGCGAGTTTATTTTACTAATGAGTTCCCCTATGATGTCACTTCCTGTTTCACTTTGGCTGTGCCAAATGTTAAAGAAAATATGTCGGTTATGTGACAAAATGGGTAAAATCATTTGTATTATGCCAACTTTCTTAAGTATAAAGATGTTTTCTTTGACTTTTTGTATTTGAAGGATAGGCATGTCACATGTACTTTACCATTTGGTCTTTTCTATTTAATCTAAAGAAAAAGTTTTCACTGAGAATTGAAACTGGTTGGACTTTAATAAGTCACTGTGCTGTTGGCAGAGTTTAAAGAAAGAACATAAACAGTCCCAATAAACTGTCTAACTGGAGTAGAACAAATGAAATAAAAACAGCATTTCTTGAAAGAATACATATCACTCTCTGCTTTATATGTCAAAGTTTGAAACAAAGACAATCCATTAGTGCTCAAAGTATGTGTAGGGGATGACTCTCAGCTACTACCAGACTAACTTTTAACTAAATATCTGTAAAATTGACTGAATTATTGACATTTATGTGGGATATTTTGCTAACAGACAAATAGACAGCTGAACTGAGGCACACACATACAAAGCTAATTACATTAACTCATTATCACGGCAGAATTGAAAACGAGAGAAATCGAAAATATTTTCAATTCAAACAAAATGAACCATGTTGAATTCACAGCTTGTAAGAATATTTAGACCAGAATCACTGGTTGCAGACTGGAATTAATTAGTAAAATAAAACCTGCAGTGTTTGAAATTAGTTTTTTATTTGTAATTCAGTCATTTGTGGGCTGAAATCCTCAAACATGAGATGTGTTTAGAGCCTATAGAAAAAGTTACGTTGTGTAATTTAAAGATGTTTTAATAATCATTCTGTATTTTTAAAGCCAATTATGACTTTGTAATAGTAATAAAGTGCTTTAATTTGAAAGGATACTTTATTGATTGTGATTCAAGTATATTTTTAGATACATTTACCCCACATGATGTCATGTACACATACAAAAGTACAATAAATGAACTTTAAAGTTTTGTATTTGTCATCAGGTTGACTCAGTTGAAGTTTCGGGGCCGACCATGTTGTCTGTTCCAGGATATGAAAACAAGGTGGAGTTTGGAGCCATGTATACCTTTGCTTACCCTGTAGAAGGTTCTGGTGAGTACCTGCCACTGTCCGGAACCGTGTTGAGTTTTGTTTGTTTGTCATTTTTATTTTACAACGTAGAGTTTTCCTTTTCGTAAATATTTCAGACGGCCAAGTAGCTGTGTCCACCACCCGTCCTGAGACTATGCTCGGAGATGTTGCTGTAGCTGTTCACCCAGAGGACCCTCGATATCAGGCTAGTTTGCATTTATTTATTTATTTATTTATTTATTTATTTATTTATTTATTTATTTATTTCCAAGTCTCATGGAATAATTCCTTACATCAGGCTTCTTTAAAACAGTTGTTATTAACTTTAACGTCTCGTGTTTAACTTCAACACAAAACGTCACATTTCTTGTTTTCTGCTAACAGAAACAACTGAGCTCTGTGTGGTATTTTGTGCATCGAAACAGCTTTTTAACGCATATAAACAGTGAAAGCACTGCGTGTACAACTGACTAAATGTGAAAGAAATAATACAGAAACCCTATTAAAAGTAAAAGTAAGAGTTACTTGTTGAGTTGTGGTATGTAGCTGCCATCTTGGGTATTCCCACTAGAGGAGCATTCCTGTTTATGTTTACGACTTATAAATGGGACATTCCCACTTCCTTGTACAGCTGGGTTGCAGACAAAATAGCCGGCTCAGCTACTTTTGAACCCTGTGCACCCCCACCTAGTGATGGAATGCAGTCATTCTGCAGGTAAAATAATCAAAATGCATTATGGGAGATGTAGTTTATGGTCATTGTTGGTTTTAAAGCAGCATAGTTTTAGTTTAAGACAGGGATAGTCAATCCTGGTCCTGGAGGGCAGCAGCCCTGCACGTTTTACTTGTTTCTCTGCTCCAACACATTTGATTTGAATGAATGGGTGATTATCAGGCTTCTGCAGAACTTGGAAGAGGTGATTCACTGGCTGAATCAGGTGTGGAGAAGGGAAACAAGTAAAAGATGCAGTGTGCCTTGAGGAGCAGGGTTGAACACATGCTGCATTGTTCTCAGGGTCTGAGTTGTATCATGTTGGTTTTTACTGCTCATGTAAAGTAATTAATCAAATTGTTTGCAGTATATTGAGAAACTTCCTGTATCAGCCTCAGATCAGAGGGTCACAGCCCCATGTTGGTGGTCTTAATATAAAAACTTTGGGAACAGAGTAAAGTTTAAAGTAGTGGTTCCCAAACTTTTTATCTTCTGACCCGTAAAATATCCGTGGCAAAAACTTGTGACCCCAAATATTACTGGTCTGAGTACACGAACTTCATTAATAACCCTAAAAACACAGGCTTTTTGACAATCTAAACAGCTTCTACACAAGTATAAATACTTATTTATACTTATTTTGTGTTTTTGTAATAATTATAGGGAAAATATTACATCAGAAATTATTTTATTACCCTTTAAATTGATTTCTGGAGATTATCCAAGGTGCTTCATGACCCATAATTGGGTCCCAAGTCCAGCTTTGGGAACCAAAGTGCAGTGGTTCCCAAACTTTTCAGTTTTTGTCCCACAAAATAACAGCAGCAGAGACCTGTGCCCACAGCTATTTATGGATGATAAACATTTGTATCAGGTCAAATAAACATGGGCATAGTAACAATATTTTTATACTACATTTATCCATTTTAAATACACTAACCTCACTCCTTTGTAACAACTAAGGCAAAAATGTAACTAATTCCGAAAATTTTTTCATGACCCCACCTTGATGTTTCAGGACCCCACTTTGGGTCCCGACCCCAACTTTGGGAAACACTGGTTTAAAGTACTCTAAAAGGTTTGAATACTTTTAAAAGAATGATTAAAATCATCAAATGTATGTTTTCAGATAAATGTACCCAGGACTAACATAATAGTAACTCTAAATGGTGGGCAGTGCTAATCCAAAAATTAGCTCCGCAATTTCTAAAGCGCTTATGAAAAAATTTAGGTCCACAACTTCTAAAAAGCTTATGTCATAGAAAAATTAGCAGAAGCTAATTTAAAAGCACAAGTTCAATTTCATACTTACCAGCTGTCAACAAGTCATGTACAATATATGCGCAATACTGCTAAGTAGTGGTGTATGAACTCTTGTACAGCTTAATCCTACAACTGCTGATTGCTGGGGATGTGATTTCCTGTAAGAGAAGTTTGGCTCCTGGTGTTAAAATTAAAAAAGTTGTTGAGGATTGCTAGTTCGGCTGCTTCTTAAAAAGTTGTTGAGGATTGCTAGTTCGGCTGCTTCTTTGTCTTTTTCTTTTGTTTGTTGTAGATTTTTCATTAAAGAAGCATCAATAAAGTAATTTTAAAACTGTTTATTGGAAAACTGAAGTGATGCATTCTGGGTACATGACGGACTGACGGGAAATGAAAGCACAGAGAACAGGAAACTAGTATTTTCCCTTCAAAATAAGAGCTTGGATTTTAAAGTTTTTCATGTTTCCATTGGATTTTAAAGTTTTCCAGTCCACCTGAAACTCATCAGACTGAAGAAGTCTCTTGGAGGAGAGACGAAACGTTTCACTAAAGAAGAACCCGTCCAGAAGACCTACTTAATCTTTCTTTTTGATTTTTTTCTACCTGGATTAGGACTTTTTCCATGTAGTTGCTCCAGTTGACCACTAGATGTCAGTCTTCACCAGCATAACACCTTTAAAGCATTTCTGCTTTTGAGCTCCAGTGTTTAAACTTTATTTTTTTTAAAAGGAGCTCCGATTGTAAAGTAAAATAAATCAATACATACAAAATTTTAGTATGATTACAAACGTTTACTGTTTTTGCTGGGAAAGGGAGTACTAAACATTGCCTTCCTGCTACGTAAACAGACACAAAGCATTGTGGGAAATCAGAACCGTGGCCCAAAGCAACATTCAGCAGGATGTATACCTTCTCAATAAGTGTGTTTATCTGGGAGGGGTGCTGTTGGATAGTTGTGTGTTGTGATTCATTGACAGACATACCTTCTGCTGTTCAAGATAATAATGACTGGTAGATAATTAGTTATATTGCATTTTAATTTTAGAAAGCACAAATTTGCTTATGAATTAAAAAAAATTAGTAAGACCGCTAAAGCGCAAACAAAATATTTAGGTCCGCAATTAGCGGATTTGTGCTTTAGTGGACTGGTGCCCGCCACTGGTAATTCTGATTGGTAGAAACACAAAGTGTTTGTGTGACTCACCTGTGTTTGTCCTTTTTGTTCCAGACTCTCCACGGGAAACAGTGTCGACACCCCTTCACCAACATACTGATCCCCATCATCACTGACCCTCTGGTGGACATGGAGCTAGGAACTGGTAACTGCAGCACTGTTTCTACAGTTCAGCCTCATCAAACACAGCTCCGTCCTTCATCCCTAAACCATCTCCTTCACAAATGAGATCCATCACATCGAAATGGGAGGAAGCCGGAGTACCCGGAGAGTACCTGTTCCGGCTTCCTCCCACAGACCAAAAACATGACTGTTAGGTTAATTGATAACTCTAAATTGTCCCTAGGTGTGAGTGAGAGAGTGAATGCTTGTTTGTCTCTATGTGTAGCCTTGTGATGGACTTGCGACCTGTCCAGGGTGTACCCCGCCCCTCGCACTGTGAC